CTCCGCGTGTGATCCAGCTCCTGAACCGGCTCCAACGAAACCTCCCAGCCCTGGCCATCAGAGGTTCCCAGAATTGTAACTTAATTTTATGCGTACACAACATGTACATCTGTGTATCACATGTATGCCTGGTGCTCGAAGAGGCCAGAAGAGGATGTTGTGGATCCTCTGGAATTGACTTACAGATCTGGTTGTGAGCTGCAATGTGGGTGCTGGGAATTGAACCCAGTTCCTCTAGAAGAGCAGCTGGTGCTCTTAACAGCTGCGCCATCTCTCCAGGCCCTATATATATCATTTTTATTGTATTTGTGTGTCTGTGGTTTGTGCATGTGAGTACAGTTGCCTTAGGACGCCAGGGGCATAAGATCTTCCCGGAACTAGTGTTACAAGCTCTTGTCAACTATCTGTGCCGGGAATCAAACTCAAGTCTTCTGCAATAATGCAAATAATAAATAAATGTTAAAATAATATAATGAGAAAGTAAAAAATTAATTAAAACTTTAATACAGAGATTCAATTGTTTCCATCTTTTCCATTTGTATTATTTTGTTAAGTGATTGTATATTGTAATCATATAAAGTCTTTTGTAAAAAGCTCACTGTGCATTTTGGAATTATGAATTTATTTTAAAGATTTATTTATTTATTTATTTATTTATGCAGTATTCTGGCTGCATGTATGCCTTGTGGCCAGAAGAGGGGACCAAATTTCATTACAAATGGTTGTGAGTCACCATGTGGTTGCTGGGTATTGAACTCAGGACCTCTGGAAGAGTAGCCAGTGCTCCTAACTGCTGAGCCATCTCTCCCACCCCCTGGAATTATTATTAGTCCTCACTGTGGTCTTTCCCAGCAGCAGCAGCACCCACAGTGAGTGTTGAGTATGTTAGAAACACAGACTAGCTGGGTGATGGTGATGCATGTCTTTGATCCCAGCACTGGGGAGGCAGAGGCAGGGGGATCTCTGTAAGTTCGAGGCCAGCCTGGTCTACAAAGCTACACAAAGAAACCCTGTCTCTAAAAAACAAAAAAATTAACAAACAAAAGAAACACAGACTAAAGCCAGGTGCTGCACACCTGTAATCCCAGCAAATGGGAGATGGAGTCAGCAGGGTTTCCAGTGTGAGAGCAGCCTGAACTTGTTAAGAAAGGAAAAAAGAAAGACTTATAAAAAGCAAGGAAGAAAGAGCTCTTTGCGGTGGCATGGGATTTTACTCCCAGCATTGGGAAACAAAGGCAGGTGGATCTCTGTGAGTTTGAGGCCAGCCTGGACCAAATATTGAGTTCTAGGGAAGCTAAAACAACACAGTGAGATTCTGTTTCAAAAACAAAAGAAATTAAAAGAGAAAAAGAAACCAGAAAGGTAGACCAGCCTATCGACCTTTATGATGAAAGCCTACGTTTTGACAAGTCTCTGAGATGATTTGTCTGGGAGATAATTGTTTCAAAACTATAAGAAGCAGGCCAGCTGTGGTGTACACCTTTGATTCCAGCACTCAGGCGGTAGAGTCAGGTAGATATCTGTGAGTTTGAGGCCAGCAAGGGCTGCATAGTGAGACTTGACCTATGCACTAAAGGGCAAGTTTAAGGGAGATGATTTAGTGTGTAAAGTGCCTACTCAGAAAACCTAAATCCTAGACTCCAGTGTATCTGTAGCCTTAGTGGTAGAGACAGGGTGTGGAGACAAGAGGATCTGTGAAGCTCATTAGCTATCCAGACTAGCTGGCTGTATAAGCTAGTCCAGTGTCAAAAAGTAAGGCGGAGAGGAAGACCCCAGTATTGACCACTGGCCTCCACACACAAGTGTACCCACACAAACTCATCTATACCACACAAACACACACACACACACACACACACACACACACACACACACACACACACACACACTTAAACAAACAACAAAACAAAACCACCTCTGATCTTGTCTTTTCCCTTTAATCCCAAACTCTTAAAAGTTGCTGCAGTGAGGAGGGCCCGTGGTACAGGTTTGACCCTATCACTCAGGAGCCTGCCGGGGATGGAGACCAAAGTGTTATCGTGCTACACTGCAAGGCTGTTAAAAACATATTTTGCTGTTATTTATTTGCTGGTGCTAGGAGTACTGTGACAGAGTACATACCTAGTATGCATCATACCTTGAGCCTGATCCCTGGAAGTACAAAAAGGAAGGAAGAAAGGAAGAAGGAAGGGATGAAGACAAAGAAATTAAGGGACAGAGAAAGAGAAAAAAAAAAACTTAAAAATGCCAAATGCAAAATTATTTAGCCTAAAGGATTCCTTGGATACACATTCAAGAAAAGCTACATTAATCCCAGGAAAGGACCTGTCAGGCTAGAGATTGCCTCAGAGCAGCTGAAGGGAACCTGAGAGACTGGAGCCAATCCTAAGGGTGGCTTCTGGGTGCTGGAAATATTGTTTTCTGACCTGACTGTTCGCTGTTGGGGCCTGTAAAAATCCTTGAGGTCTAAGTACCTTCTGCCTTATTCTTCAATAAACAAGGGTTTAAAGTCTCACTGTGGGGCAGGAGGTGCTGCTTAGTGGTAGGATGCTCACCTAGTATGAGTGAGTCCCTGGGTTTTGTGATTCCACTGTTGTTTAGTACAGTGGGATATACCTGTAATCCCAGGTCTCTTGGAGTGTCACAACAGGTGCAGACCAGTCTGGACTACATAGTGAGTTCCAGACTCAGTTCAGAATCTTTTTTTTTTTTTTTTCCAGTTCAGAATCTTAAAGAGACACTGTCTCAAAACAAAATAAAACAAAACACAAAACCTAAGAGACTAAGAAAATCATGCCGGGCGTTGGTGGCGCACGCCTTTGATCCCAGCACTCGGGAGGCAGAGGCAGGTGGATCTCTGTCAGTTCGAGACCAGCCTGGTCTACAAGAGCTAGTTCCAGGGCAGCCTCCAAAGCCACAGAGAAACCCTGTCTCGAAAAACCAAAAAAAAAAAAAAAAGGAAAAAAAAAAGAAAATCACACACCTTTAATCCCAGCACTCAGGAGGCAGAAGCAGTTGGATCATTGAATTTGAGGCCAGCCTGGTCTACAGAGCAAGGTCCAGGACAGCTAGAGCTACACAGAAAACAAACAAACAAATAAAAATAAATTGTAAGCATAAATATCCAGTATTGTGGACACACACCTTTAATCCCAGTACTCAGGAGGCAGCAGATCTCTGTAAATTCAAAGCCAGCTTGGTCTACATAGGGAGTTCCAGGTCAGCCAAGGCTACACATAGAAATCCTATCTCAAATAAAACAAACAAAAATAAATAAATAATAAATAGGACTGGAAGGTGTGGCTGAGTAATTCAAATAGATTGTTCTTCCTGGGATCCACATGGTTGAAGAGAACCGACTTCACACACACATACATAGCACACTAACAATTATTAAGGGCCAGTGAGCTTAGTAGGCAAATGCATCTGTCATCAAACCTGGTAACCTAGGTTTGATCCCAGGGGCCCAGGAGGAGGAAGGAGAGTACTGACTTCTACATGCTGTCCTCTGACCTCCTCACATGCATCATGGCATGAGTGTGCACGCATACTTGCATACACACACACACACACACACACACACACACACACTCTCTCTCTCTCTCTCTCTCTCTCTCTCTTTCTCCCTCTCTCTCTCTCTCTAAACATTTAAACAGAACATAGTGACATTTTCCCCCCAAGGTAGGGTAGTGCTGGCTGTCCTGGAACTCAAGATCAAGTTAGTCTCAAACTTACAGAGATCCACCTGCCTCTGCTTTCCAAGTGGTAGGATCAAAAGGCGTGAGCCTGGCTTGTAATGGATTTTTTTAAATTAGAAAAAAATTTAAAAACAAAAAACTTACAGTTTAAAGGTGCTCTCAGGGGTGCTGGGAAGTTGTCACCCAGATAACCCCCCTGTTTATTTTACTCTAGCTTATCCTCTGCTTCTCTCCTGTCCTACAGGGTGGAGGTTAAATTCTCACTTCTTGGAACACCTTATTGAATGAACCTAGCCACAGGCTCCATGCAGACAATTTCTTGAGAGGTCTTCTGGTCAATTCCCAAAGTTATCTCACAATTTATCACCCCCCACCCCAGTTAAAACTAATCACGGTGTGAGGTATTTGAAAAGCTACTTGTATGGAATTGAATTCAGGTCTCATAAGCTATGTGGGAACCAAAACCTGAAGAGCCAGCAACAGGTTTTTCAGGATACCTGCTCCAGGAAGGGGCCTGCCTCATTCCATAGCCCTCAGCCATCAGGGCTGTGGCTCTGCCTCTCCCAATTTCCCTCCGCCCCAGCAGAGGCATGCTCCTATTGCACAATGCCAGGAGCTCACTCTGAAACTAGGTTGCAGGTAGAAGTACTGAGAAGTAACTCTGTTTCTGGTATTTTTAACCCTCAAGGGTTCACCTTTCTTTGACCACTGATCCTCAGGTTCCTGGTACAGTGAAGAGATGAGGGAACCTAGGGAAGTGTTTGACAGGATGGTAAGAACAGTCTCTGTTCCAACTTAGATGTCAAAATGTTTGCATTTTCCAGAGCCTAGTGGTGGTTATTACCGGTGGCCAACAGGATTACTGGCATTCGGCATCTGCCTAGTGTCTACAAAGACAATGTATTATCTTTAGCATGGAGAGAGTTACTGGGTCTAATCTGCTAATGAGAAGCATATTGTATTTAACTCAGAAAATTTAGGAAACGTGGGAAAAAGGCTTTCCTAATCATATCATGTAAAGATAACAGCTGTCCACACTTTGGCATATCTTTCCAATCTTTTCTCTATGCAGAGATGCTTCATTGTTTCCTGAACTGGAAGGGAGAAAAATGTAAACATTTAAAAGACAAAGCTTTAGGCTGGGTGTGGTAACACAGGAATTTAATCCCAGCACTCAGAAGGACAAGGCAGGTCTGAGTTCCAGGCCAGCTAGGGATACCTAGGAAAGACCCTGTCTCAACAAAAACCCAAAACAAAAGCAAAAGTCAAAACCAGTATTAGTAATAATTTTAAAAATAAAGCTTTGATTCTTTAGTTTTCATTTTTATTTGTTTTGAAACAGCAACTTAATAGCTTAGAAATGTTCCTAACAGCAAGAGTCTACCCCATGCATTCCAGGAGGTTCCTGGAGCCTAGACCCCGGCCGTGGCTCCAGACACACTTCTTTCACCCACTTTATCAGCCATCAGGCTTATTTCTCTCTGGAGACTTGGGACAAAAGAGGAGGTCCATTTAGAGAGGAGGGTGGACGTAAGGGTCACCATGTGGAAGGGCTGGGCTTAGACAAAACTGCCTCTGTTAGTTTGGGGGATATCTGGGGACTTGGTAGCATGCTCAGACAGACTGTGGGAAGCTTGGAGGGGTCCTGAACTGCTTCGCTCACTTCCGGGCAAGCCCCTCAGCATCCCTCCATCTGCCAGACTCAGAGTCCTGCCTTTAGAAGACAGGACTCTGTAGCCTTTTGTCCTCCTGCATGCCTCAGAGGTGCCCAGCCAGTTCCAGGCCTTGACAGGGTGGAGAATCAGGAAGGTGATGAGGATTCAGACCTGAGAATATCCCACCTTCTCCCGCCACAGGGCTTTGGGACCCGAGTGTGCCAATCCCTTCCTGTCACCTAAAAGTGAACAATACAAGGACATCTCTTTGTGACTTGGAGGGGTAAACCTGGCATTTAAACCCAAGTGTGGTGGGCACTGATGTGCCTCCAGCCTGTGGGCAGCTCCAAGCATGCACTGGAAGTAGGAGCAGCTCAGTCAGGAGAGTAGGGGCCCACAGGGCTGTTGCTACCCTCCCCTATTGCCATCCACACCCATGGTACCCATGGAAACATAGCCACCCCTCCTCCTGCCAGCTGCCTGCATTCAGGCAACCAGCTCTAGCTCACCTCCTCTAAGCCAAGGCCTGAACTGATGCCAGGCTGGCCAGAGTGGCGTCAGGAAGAACTGGGATTGGGCAATTTGGTCAGTCCAGGTGCCAGCACAGCTTGGGAGGGCTACCACAGGAGCCTCCATACCTTGCTGCCTGGGCTGTGATCAGGCTGGGCTTAGTCAGCCAGCACAGTGGCCAGCAGAGCCAGATGGATGGCCCCAGCTGTCCTTTGCCTGTGGGCTAACAGCTGCTGTGAGGCAGTAGCCCTTGCTGCAGCAGCAGCAGCCTCTGGGTCTCGTTGAGGGGGCTTTCTGGCTGCTGCTCCGACTGCCCAGGTGACTCAGCCAGATCTCCAGGGCTGAAGATGTATCGACAGTCACTGGGGATGCCACCTACTGCCCCCACACCACTGCCATCCCCTGCCTCGCTGCTAAGCTGCTCTCCACAGGGCAGCTCAGGGCTGCCTCTCTCAGTAGGCTGCTCAGCTCTCTCAATGTTAATGTACAAGGGGTCCTGGCTGGTGGACAACACAGACAGGTGGCCCAGAATGTTCTCCAGTTCCATTCGCAGGCATGTGAAGCTTGGGCGCTGCTTTGGGTCTGCGCTCCAGCACTGGTACATGAGATCATACCTGCAGTAGAAAGAAGAGCGAGAAGAGGCTATGGCCACAAAGGAGAGGTTCTCTTAGTCATATGACACTAAGACGGGAAACAATTCTTCAACACTAGTGTGGAAGGCTTACTATGTATGCATCAGGCTAAGATTACATGTATTTTGTGTGTGTGTGTGTGTGTGTGTGTGTGTGTGTGTGTGTGCATACACGTGCACATGCTCATGAACTCCTATGCATTCACTACAGCACACATGTATAAGTCATAGGACAAGTTACGGGGATTGGCTTTCTCCATGTGGGTCCTGGGATTAAACTCAGGTTGTCTAGGCTTGGCAGCAAGCACCTTTACCTGCTGAGCTGTCTTGCCAGCCCTACATTTAACAGTTCCTATTTTGAAAATATAAAAATTGAAGCATGGAGAGATTAAGAACCTTGACTATTGGCTGGAGAGATGACACCCATGTCAGGTAGCTCATAAGCACCTGTAACTCCAGCTTTTGGGGGCTCTGACATCTCTGGACTCCTAGTCTGGACTCCTTGGGTACCATCACCCATATCCACTAACCCACACAAGTAAAAAATAACAAAAATAAATCTTAAAAAAAAATCCTTGAGCCAGGCACCTTTAATCCCAGCACTGAGGAGGCAGAGACAAGTGGATCTCTGTGAACGCGAGGCCAGCCTGGTCTACAAAATGAGTTCCAGTACAGCCAGGATTGTTACACAGAGAAACCCTGTCTCAAAAGACCAAAACCAAACCAAACCAAAAATCCTTAATAAAGTCACATAGGTAGCAAGTAAGAGAGCTGGCAGGAGTGATAAAGCACACCTGTAACCCCAGCACTTAGGAGGTAGAGGCAGGAGGATTGCTACCAGTTTGAGGTGGGCTTAAGATACATTTTGAGTATGAGTTTGAGTTTGAGTATACCAAAGTTGCAGAGTAAAGTCCTGTTTAAAAAAATAAACAACAGGGCTAGGAATGCAGTTCAGTTGGTAGGATGCTTGCCCAGTAGGCACAAAGGCCTGGGTTTGGTTTTCAATACCTCCTCACTGCTACACTCCTGTAATTCTAGCACTTGGGAGTTGGAGGCAGGAGGATCTGAAGTTCAAAGTTTGAGTCTGGTTTAAAATGAGTGAGAACCTGTCTCAAACAAATTCTCCATAGTCACTGAGCTATGATAGTAAATGCAAGTACTTCTGTCTTACGCAGAAACCTGGAGTCAGGGTCATCCCTTGGTTTTCGTTCTTTGGCACAGGAGAACCTGTATACTAAGCAAGGACTCAATTGCTGAGCTACCATACCCCAGATCCTGGAATCAGGGTTATCTTTCTAGGGGGTAGTCTTGTGCACTCTCCTTTTTGTCTCAAGGTCCACATGAGGCAGAACCCACTCGCATACGCTTACATTTTCAGAAAAGCTTCTAGCCATTCTCCTCTGGCAAAATACCCCATCCCGCATTTCACTAGCCTTACAGATTTTCTTACAGCTTTCACTGTTTCCAAGGACTGTCTGTCTCTGTCTCTGTCTGTCTCTGTCTGTCTCTGTCCCTCATGGGAAAGGCCTGAGACAAAATGCAATCAGCAGTGCCTGACTCTTGTGCATGGCAAAAGCCCCAAGTACTGTCTCACAAAGGAGCCCTCCTAATAGAGGCTCCAATGGCAGGAAGAATCGTGCCAGACCCCAGGCAGGCTGTGGGAATGGTCCAGAACTGCCGGTATATGGCCAGACTGGGACATATTCTCGAGGCTGTGCTAGAAGCCAGCTGGCACCTTTCCTCCAGGCTGCCTGGTGGGAGGCCAGTGTCCGCCCACCCTTCATTGACAACAGCAGCTCCAGTCTGGGAGAAGGCTGAGCCAGGGTCTGTCTCTACCGCTCCCCAGAGCTCAGCTTCTGCAGCTCTACAGAAGAGCTGAGGCTGCATGCAGCCACAAGGAGACAGACCCAAGCTTTCAATCTCAACAAAGCTCTGCTTAATGGACAGGCAGCAGGGCTGATTCCCTGCACTCACTTCCATCGAAGGATGAGCGAGGAACTGGGGTGTCACACAGTGGTAGAGCACTTGCTTATCAAATACAGTCCCTGAGTTTAACTCCCATCACCAAAACAAATAAATAAATGGGTTTTTTGTTTGTTTGTTTGTTCCCAGACAGGGTTTCTCTGTGCAACAGCCCTGGCGGTCCTACAACTCAATTTGTAGATAGGTTGGCCTTGAACTCACGGAGATCCACCTGCCTCTGCCTCCTGAGCACTAGGACTAAATGTGTGCACCACCGCACCTGGTACCAGGCTCCAGGCACTTCAAATCCACTGCCTGAGAGGAGACCACCATTCAGGGTCACTTTCCTCCACCTGTTCATGGCTGGGGCACTGTGGAGGTCTAACTCCAAAGCTACATGAACAAAGGAACTTGTATTCATTCTCCTGGACCACTCTGTCTTGACTGGAGTCAGACAGTAATACTAGAACAGACCAAACACAGTTGATTTCACGGTTGAGAACATGAACTCTAAAACCACAAGGATCTAGGTTCAAGTACCAACTTAATCACATAATAGCTGTGTGACCTTGGCCATGTTACTTAGCCTCTTTAATCCTATTTCCTCATCCACAAAACGGAGATAATAGGCCTTTTCCTTATAGGGTTAGAGAAAGATTGCCTAGAAGAATACCTAATAGGCACAGCTAAGGTCAGTGACAATTATGTCATCCTGTCACAAGGGTTTGTTTACACTATAGTCGGAGTCCCGCCCTGCTTGGTGGTACTTTAGGCTTGCAGGAAAGAAAGGAGTCAGTTTCCTTCTTCCCAGGATCTCAGGTCCTCTCCGTCAAGGGGAGGCCAAGACCAAGAAAGAGGCCCAGGCCCCACCTTGTCCTGGCCAAGAAAAGACAAGTCAGTCAGGGGATGCTTCTTTTTCCTGGAGCCCAGTACTAGAAGAGCCAGGCATCCCGGCTAGCTGTGCTCCCAAACAGTGACAAGGAAAAGCTCTGCCTTTTATGATTCCTGATTCTTCCCACAAACTGGAAACAATAGTGATAGGAAAAGCCTGGAGCAAGAAATATGGGGTAGGAGCCAGACATGGTAGTTCATGGCTGTGATTCCAGCATTCTGCGGATGGAGGCAAAGGGAATTAACAGTTTGAGGCCAGCCAACCTAAGCTGCCTAGTGAAACTGTCTCAACATTCCCCCTCCCAGGTGGGGCAGGGTGGGGGGATGAGAAAGGGAGAAAGAACGAGGGTAAATAAGGAAGAGGTCAATCTTTACTATTAACTAAAAGGACTAAAAGAAGGGCTAACCTAAGTCCAGTGGAGGTTCTGAGCTCATCCTGGATAACAGCTAGAGTAACAGTCATGAGCCAAAGCTCCTTCCATATAACTCCCTACCCAAGATACTCACACTTCCTCCATACACTCCGGAGGCTGTTTCAGGCGGTTCCCGCCGATGAGGTAGTTGTAAATCTCAGCATTTTCGATGCCAGCATATGGCGTCTGCCCACGAGTCATGATCTCCCACATGGTCACCCCGAAGGCCCACTGGCACAGAATCAGGGTTGGGGAAGAACGTTACCAGGTTTCCTGAGCTAAGCAGAGCCAGGTCTGGGGATTCGAGGGTCTTATAAGGAGGTTATCAAAGCTCAGAGAGCAGAGCTTTGCTGAACCTTTTTGGGTCCTGCAGATCCACCCCCCACACTAATCCATCTATTCACACCACCAAGCCCCGCTGTGCTACCCTGCTCACCACATCGCTGTGTACAGTATACAAGTTGTCAGCCAAGCTCTCCAGGGCCAGCCACTTGACAGGCAATTTGGAGGCACAGCCCTGACGATAATAGTCCCCACTGTAGATTTTCCGGGAGAGTCCAAAGTCAGCCACACACACCGTCATGTCCTCCGCCAGCCTGAGAGGGGTATTGAAAGACAGTCTTTCCCATGTGCACAGATTAACTAAAGCCAGGCTATCCCCATGCATAGGAGGTTCCATCCAAGGCAGGGGGTGACATCAGCAAGTGTCAGGAGGTACTAGCTATCTCACACCCACCAGGCCACCAGAATTCCTACATGCAATTCCGAGCTGCCAGGTCTCGGTGGATGAAGTTCCGGGAGCTCAGGTACTCCATGCCACAGGCAATGTCCACCATGAACCGGACCAGAGTCTGGAGGGGCAGGTTCTAGTAGGCAGACAGGGTAAGCTCAGGTTGGACCTTCCCAGACCTCAGGGGCACGATGAATGAAGTTCCCTGGCCAGAAAGCTAAAGACTGTCTTAAGAATCACTGCCAAGGAGACAGGGGACCAAGGGCCTTCCAAGGAAGCTCTGGCAAGCCTGAGAAAGAGCTAAAACATCAAATGTCTTCTTCCCAAAAATGTCTTTGCCTGACCTAAAATTCCCAGCAGGGCTTCGAGGGAAAAGGAAGCCAGGGTAAATACAGTCAGACTCTGACCACTCTCTGGGTCCTGCCCACCAAGCCTCTTCTCCCCCAGTTTCTTTGTCCCTTTTTCAGGCATCATTCTCCCACCCATTTCCTCCTGGCCACCCCCACCTGAGGCACTCACAAAAGGGTTCTCCCCAATTCGGGAGGCGAGCAGAAAGGCATGCAAGTCTCCGTGCTTCATGAAGGGCAGGATGACCATGGGAATGGGGAGGCGACCTTTAGCCCTGCTCCGGAGGCTCACCCCTGGGAGACAAGGGAGAGTCAGGAACTGGGCACATAAAAGCTTAAAGACAGTTAGGCATCTGCCTCAGGCCCTACCTGCTGACTTCCATCTCAAGCCCTTGTGCTGTCATCTCTTTCACCACCACAGTTTTGCTCCTGCCTGGGCACCGTGAAGGGCTCTGCCTGATGTTCCTTGCTCCTGGGTACATTCCTCTGTCTCTCCTCCACCCACATGAGCAGTTTTGAGCTAAGCTCCCACAGATTCCAGACAGGACCTCACTCACTACCTGCTTGCTCACTGGGTATCCAAACTCTTCTCCTCCAGGCTGCCCTCTCACGTTGGTGGAGCATATTTTTAGCCCTATTCTATATCTGCCTCCTCCATTTGGGCTCACCAACAAGCTTGGCCACGTGTGGATGGTCAAACTCCTTCATGCAAGCTGCTTCTCTGAGGAACTCTTCTATGTCGCTTGAGGCAATGATGTCAGCTGAGAGAAAGGAAGGGGGAGGAATGGAAGCAAGATTCACTCCACACCCTCCCAAAGCTCCTAAGACAGGTCCTTCAGAAGTCCTGGGTGTTGCAGGGGGCCAGGGAATGGTGCTTTCCAACATTTTCTCTGCCTGCTAGTTCTCCTGTTCACTTTTTTCCTCATGTGTTTCTTTGAGGAGACTGCAGTCCAGCCTGGATTTAAACTTGTGATCCTTCTGCCTCACTCCTCACAAGCACTGAATTACCACCACTCCAGGCTTGTGTTCTTAGACTTTTCTTTTAGGTCTCACAAGCTGACTTGGAACTCACTATGTAGCCCAGGCTGGCCTCAAATTTCTAACACCCCTGCCTCTGCCTCTCCAGTGCCGAGATTACCGGCTGTTCCCTTTGGTTTTGACAGCCCATGAGCTCTACTGCGCACAGCTGTAGTCAACTAAGAGTGCACTGTGAGGACTGTCACTGCTGATGGCACAAAGCAAAGCTAGGGCATGGCTTTTTGTGTGGGCTTGTGCTTTTGAATTATTCACGTGGTGCAGTCAGCACCCCGCTAGTGCTGACTAGGTTCTTGGGAAATCACAGGCCAGAGTGGAGCCTGCTCTACTATCTGTTACTCCCTTTACTCCTCCTCCCCAACTGGCAACAAACTGTCTAACTCACCTTTCAGCATCTTCACAGCCACTTTCACAAAGGAACCATCTTCCTGCTTCAGCTGGGCTTCCCGTACTGACCCAAACTCTCCTAGGCAAGAAACCAATGGAGAGGGTGAGACACCTCAGGCTCCCTACTCTCTTCCCTCTCAGATGACTCTCCACGGGGTCATAAAATCATCACCCAAGGCTCTTAAAGGAGGCTGTATTGGGAATGGCTCCCCGTCCTCCCTGCCTCTAGCCACCATTCCTTTGTAAAACCCCCAAATCAGGCATCCATAGGTATATATACCTTGTTTATAGGAGCTGACCTAAACTAACACCCTGGAAGTGACAGGAACAATACATTCAGAGAGGGCAAACTCATGCCAGTCCCCACAGAGCCCCCACACCTTTGCCCAACATCCGGCCAAGGGTGAACTGCTGTTCTGGGATGAGGACATCCTCCAGCTTGTCCTTTAATTCATCACTGATACCCAGGCTATCCACTGCAGGGAGGAGATGAGAATGGGACAGGGCTGTAGTCAAATCCACACTCCAGCCTTTGCTCTCCACCCAGCTCCCTGTCCTCAGCATAGAGCCTGGATATCCCACGTTGAGGTGATAAGCTCCATCAGGTAATTTGGCATCTTTTTCATTACTCTGGGGCTCGTCAAGGTTCAGATGCTTTAGCTGGATTAATGAGTTGGTAAAAGGTAGCATTACAAGATAGCCCGTCTTCTCCCTTCTATGATTCCCCCACCACTCACGTGTGGCCTCAATGCGTTCAGGCCTTTCTCGATTGAAAGACCGAGCTGCCCGGAAGTGTACAGCTGGTTCCCCCCGGGCCATGACACTGTCAAAGGCTTGCCTAAAGAGAAATCCAGGACTTCAGGTAATTACAAGGCCTTCTGTCACCACCTACTTCTTCATTCCCCACAGTCCCATTTCCTTACCCGAACCGTGTCTCCTTCCGTCTCTTTCGAAGCAGGATGAGGGCCAAGGCAGCAGCAGTGATCAGGGCGGTGAGCACACCCAGCACCACAGGCACCCAGGATGCGCGGCTGTGGGGAGGGCCCTGTCTTCCTGTGGGAGGACAAAAAGCGTCATGAGCCAGGCTGATACCAATGTATCCTTTTAGAACTTCTCCAGGATGGCCACCTCACCTAGCCTTGACAAAAGACTACCTAAGTCAAGAAGAGTGACAAGTGAAAGAGACCCCAGGGAAAGATCCAAGGGTTTCTACCTGACCTGGGACAGGCCCTGGCTGGTGTAACCAAAGCAAAGCGAGGAAAACCAAGTTGGAGGAAATACCAACCCTGGTCTCAACTGATGGACTCTTTAATTTTGGGGTGGGGGCAGGGGGCGTTGCACAGGGAAGACAAGTGTCACCTGCCTTGATCCCTGCCCCACCTGCATGCCTTACCTGCATGGTCATGAGAAGACACTACCAGTGGCTGACTCCAGGGCCCACAGCCAACTGCATTGAAGACACACACACGCAAAATCAGGTCCTTCTGGGGATCCCAGCCTGTCAGATTGGCCCTGGTCCCTTCCACAATCAGTTCATCCTGCAGTCAGGAAAAGCCCCACCCCCACACTGAGCCTGGGGAAGCCTCCAGATGGGATGGGAGGGCAGAAAAGAGTTCAGCTAGGAATCTGGGAACCTTAGGGGCACAGTGAGTGATAGGGGATGTAGAACAGAGCCCCCTGAGAGTCACCACATTCCTGCCCTGGACTGCAGGGAACACAAACAACCCTCATTCCTAGAGGAAGTAGAGCTGGGGCTGTGGACAAAGCTTTATCTGTGTTCCAGACTCACCCCCCACCCCCATTTGTAGGGGCAGGCAAGGGCTTCATGCTTTGCATACAAAGTGGCCACAGGGCTATCCCAGCCAATGAGACAGGGAGCTGGCTTTGCCAGGAGGTGAAGGATATTCCCCGGGACTGTAACAGGCTCAGACCCTCCAGCATAGTAAAGCAAACAGAAAGGGCTGGCTCCCTTACCTGGGTTCCATTTTCTTGGACCCAGAACAGTTTATAAGGTCCCAGGGGGCCTTCCCCGGGGTCCTCAGGGATCACTTCTTCCCATTCCAGGATAAGGCCTGAGTCAGTACGAAGAGCACGGAGATTCTGGGGAGCTCTGGCTGGCGCTGTACCCAAAGAAAGTTGTTAGGGTCCCTACCTTTCCCACCGTCACTGTCCTACACACAGCTCAGAAAGCTGAGGGTGAGAAGAGGGCTTGCCTCCCAGCTGCAGCTGCTCACACCCCGTGCTGGGGAGAGGGTAGGCTGCACAGGACAGAAGTGGCCCAGCCCCCACATCTCTACAGGGTTGTTCTTCATCACCCTGGTACTGCTTGGTCTTTCCCCCACCAGCCTCTTTTAACAGCCAGAGAACTACAAGCAAATTCCAAGGCAGTGTTCTTTGACTTGCGGTGTGTCTTTTCCTTGCTGCACTTTTCCACAAAATGTTACATGGCTCCTTCTTATCCTGCAGATCTCACTCATGCCTCTGTTGCCCAGGCCTTTCCAACTCAGAGCCCAGGGGCCTTATGAATGAACAAAATCATAAACGCATTTAAAGGATGAGGTTTCCTTTTTAACTAAATCCTGTGGTTCTCCAGTCTGAACTTTATAGACGATCTTGTGTCACAATGTCAGAAGGCTGGCGGTCCCAAGGGTTTTTTTTTTTTTTTTTTTTTTTTTTTTTTAGGACATTTGGACTTG